GAGAGAGAGAGAGAGAGAGGAAGGGAAGAACATAAATTGCGGAAATCAAATCGCGCAATTACGAACGAATTTCAACGACTATCTTCGGGAATCACTCGTCGAGGCTGATCGAATTGATCCCGATCGATAGAGGTCTTCGTCACCGTTAGAAATCACCTCACTGCTCACTATGCCACTGTGTCATCAGCCCTATCACACTACTGCGATCACTGTTATCACCGCGTCATCGGAGATGCGCCAGCGATCCCAAGGATCGACGCTGCCCACGGTTGCGTCGGCTGCGTTCGACACGCAGGAATGGCACGAAGGATTGCACGAGAGAAAGAGAGCGAGGGAAGAGGAGCGAGCTTTGGGAGAAAAAAAAAAAAAAAGAGAGAAAAGAAAGATCGAGAGGAGAAGGAGCGGAAGAGAGACGGATCGACGAGAAGAGGGAATGCTACGAGAGAGAGAGAGAGACAGAAGAAAAAAGAGCGCGCACGATTGTTCGCCAATGCAGCCGACAGCACGACTGGCGACGGTGGCCTCACCGCACCTCCGCACATCCACCCACGCTATATCGATCTCTCCCATCCTCCATCCCCGTCGTCGCGTCTCACCTCCCTCCTCTCTCCACTCTTCTCTCCGGTACTCGCGCGCATCAGGAACGCAGTGTGGAGTCAGTGCCGGGCGCTGCTGCGCTGGTATCCGCGATTCGGCGAGGCTGACATCGGTGGTGGTGCTGCCTGGTGATGGAGGTGGAAGGTGGAGGTGATAGCGATGGTGATGGTGGCGGTAGAGGCGGCGGTGTGCGAGCTAACTTGAGCTCGGACGCGATTGTATGTGCGCGAGGTCTAGACGCGTATGTATATGAATGGATAGCGAAAATTGCGATACGTATGTGAGAGGACGACCTGGGGAGTAGTAATGCCGAATGGGGGGGGGGGTGAACGGGTGCATCCTGGATCTATAAGGATCTACCGTGGAGACATCTCTAAAGAGTGTACCTCTCTTTTACAAATTTTTTTTTACAAATTCTTCGCCGAAGATTCCAAAGTCGATTTCTCTTTTTCCATTTGTACTCTCAATTTATAAAATTCAATATCTCGATCGCCTAAACGTAAAATATCATTAGAATTTTACGTTAGAAAATTTAAAAAATTTTAAATTAATAAAAATAATAAATTAATTTGTTCATTTATAAATTTTTATAATTTTTATTTAATTTTTTAATTTCATTAAAATAAAATATCACGTGAAATTTACGTGATATTTTTTGTTATTAAAGTTTCATCAAAAAAATATATGAATTCCGATTCATTTTTCTTTGCGTGCTAAAAATGTTAAAATGTTCAAATTTTGAAAAAATTTAATAAAAAACTTATTTATTGTTGCTAATTAAAATATTATAATCAATGTAATGTAACTTTAGCAGTAATAATATAATTTTTAATTATAAACATCTAAAATTAGACTGTCTTCTATCATTTTCTACAAAAAATATATTTAATATAAAACGTAAAATTTTTGCAAGCTTGTAAGTTTCAATTAAATAAATTTTTTATAGCTATATTATAAAATATATTATAATTATTAATCCCGTCGCAATGGGATATGTTGAAAAATTTTACACATAAGTGATTTCATGCGGACAGACTTTGTCGTAAACACGATCTTTGTTTGTATTAGCAATTGGGAATTTCGCACGATGCATGTATGTATGATATCTTATGTAATGTCCTGCTGACAATAAGTAATAGTATTTGTACGCTGCAAGTGTATAGTCATGCAATGCATTGTTCGAGAGATTAGATTCGTGTAGGAAAAAAGTCGAAATTACTTTCAACGGGAAGGAAAGACTCGAACGATTCTCTCGGCTTTTTCCTTTTTCATTTTGGCATCCATTTTGCCGGCGGATAAATTACATAAGAATCATGGCGAGGATTCGCCAGGGCACGTCGCAAGGGCCAACATCCGGAAGGGATAACAAAGTTTCGGAGTAAATATGATATATGATTTATCCCCAAGTATCCTAAATTATATTTTCGAAAAGATAGCTTGTAAAATTTAAAATTAATCGCCTTCCGAGAATTTCATAAAGTTTTATAAAAACAATTTTGAACAGAAATATATATTTCGAAATCTTCATTCAAACTCGTCACCTTCATTATACGATTTATATTAGATATGTAAATTAATTCGGACCTCTTTAATTGTTTTTTAATTGTTTTAATTGTTTTTATGTTTAATTGTTTTTTAATTGAAACTATCATCTTTCCTTCTCACTGCAATTCAGCAATTGATGGAAAAGTGTGAAGTTATACAAAATAACAGAATCTCTTAATCGGAATTAAGTTTATATTAAAGTTTGAAAAACTTTATAAAAACAGATACCAAACTAATTTGCATACCTGCTATTATACTCTTTTGATAAAAGAAATCGTTAAAAAATTTACATGTGATGTGTACGGGCTAGATTGCTAATGTAATGTAACGTAATGTAAGCGATAACACCAGACACACAGGGCGGTTTTAAGGGTAATAGTTACACTGTGCCACGAAGCCAGGCAGTAACCGCGGAGAATCGTCGTAAACAGTTTGGTAGCGTGGTGGTACCAGTCGACGGAGACACAAAAGGGGCACGGAGGGGGCCGGGAGAGAAAGGAACGTCACTTCCGGCCCATTAAGATCGTCAAGGGTCGCGCGAATCGTGCACGGGAGGCTAATTATTTCAGGGACAGTGTCTCTCACTTTTGATTTTTGCGCTCTTTTTCTTCCGTTCTTTAAAGATTTTGAACATTTTTATTCGCCAAACTAGAAAGATGATAACAATCATTGAATAAATATTATCGTAATAACACGTAGAAAATATCTTTTTTAGAGACGATATTTGTTTTTACATTTTTAATAATCATTTTCAGTTATTTGTCTTGATTTTTTGATTTAATGATTTTCTAATAATTTTGCCTAAATCTTGCCTTCATGAAAAAGTCCTTAAAAAGTCCTTATTAAATTGCGCAAGGTATCTTTCTTCCTAAAATGATTCTTACTTATTTTTTCTCAGTATATTTAGCGATATTTTAATTTATATCTTATAGTCTGGCGATTAAATTTTTATTGAAATTAATTCTTATTGTAATAAGATCTCACCTGATTTGCGCATGGTAGGCGGGCGTGGTATGTTCGGTGTGTGTGGTCAAAAGTTCCGTGGGATTGTTGGCCATGTTTATCGGATGTCCTGTCGAATGCGTGATCGGTTCCAGCAAAAGAACGCCTGGCGTCGCCGGCGATGGTTGCGGACCCAACAACGAGACGCGTACTTTTTCTCTACCTTCGCTGAAAGCAGAAGAAAACGTATTATATTAATATAAAGATTAAAAATGTGTTATATAATCAATAAATTATATCTTATATTTGCACTGTAGAAGTATCTAGAAAAAAATATAAATAGAAAATAAATATTTTTACAAGTAGTAGATTTAAATTTCTCTCCATTAAAAATTCCTCGCTAAAAATGTACTATTTGATAACGATAATGATCTTTTTTGTACTCGAAGAACCGACAAGTCTCGGATAAAGTGAAGGATGAATTTCCGCTAGCTTTGCGAGTCTCTTGGAAAAAAAGCTGAGTAAAATTTAACGATTTAACTTCCGCTTTTGTCGCCACGCCTCCTCGCGTGTCCTCTCAGGAGTGTGCAGCAACCTCCCTCGAAAACGACAACCTCCCTCCATTGTGCGCACACACAGGTACTGACTTTCACACACGGGCGTCTAATCCGATTGACTGGAGGGCTAATGTATCGAGCGTCAAATAAATTTTTCCAGTTTTGCAATTTTCATTAGAATGGAATTAAAAGATCAGACAAGGGTTTCACGAGTATTTTTGTATATGCGTGTTTATCAGAATTTTGTATTTTGAAACAGTAATAAAAAATCTGATAAAAAATAAATTTTTATATATAAACATATATATAAACATATATATGCATAGTAATATATGCATAGTTCTCAGTATTCTTATGAAGCTCTTATATAAAGTCACTAATTGTAAGCAAGTAAATTATTAGTACAAAATTCTGATTTAAAATACGCGTATAAAAAGAGATTCATGAAATTCTTTCTTAAGGGAGCACATTAGAATGATAGAATAAAAAACAAAGTTTTTTTTCTATTTTGATTTAAGAAAAAAGCGAGTTATCAAAATATTTCCTAAAGTTCATCAGATTGTTTGAGTCCGTCATTCGATATAGGCGAAATGATACAATTCATCGGAATTCATCGGAATTTATATTAGACTTTGATATAACTAAGAAAGTTGCTCTAGCCTTTGCAGAAGACTTATTATTTCTGAAATAGATATATAACAGAATTATATTTTACCGAGATATAAAATACTCAAACTTTAAACATATTTTTCTCGAAAAAATACTTTTGTGACCTGATTGATTTTTCAAAAATCACTAAAATTTATATTTGAGGGTGCTACTTTCACAGATCTTGCTTCGATTCTATCTTACGCCTGGAGGCGGTATCTCGAATGTGTTTGGTTGACGAGCGACGAAATGCAAGTTGGTCGTCTAATTGCCACTTACATAACTTTCCGATGACGTCATCCACGTTACACGGTGCAGCCGGTTAGCGTCGGTGGACCGAGAGATCATCGGAAGATTGCGAAACGAAATGCATTTTCGCGAGAAACATCAGAATCACATCAAAGGGATTTATCGTTACTGTATGAAATCAAAAACTCTTAATTTTTTTCCCATCAACCTTTCCCTTCGTGTCCAAATTTATTTTTGTGATTGTCGAAAGAGCTATTTAAAAAGTGATGTTAATAATAAAGATTATTTATTTTCAAAACAATCTGTGTTTAGTTTAAAATCCACCTGTTCTGTACGTTTATCTCTCTTTTCTTCGTTTGATCTCGGCTCCTTGATACTAGAACAATGAACATCCCTCTCTGACGCGATTGGAAAAATAAAGAGAATGTCGCGTATTGAGATAGAAAACATTTACTCTTCCATGTGGAGTGATATCGGTCGGTTTTAATTTCATGATTATTGATTCTGCATATATTTAGTTTTGTTCGATCGATCCCTTTTGAAGATACCATCCTTTGTCATTTATTAATACGCTGCCGTACGGTTATATCGGTCAATTTCATCATTAGAGCAGCTTCACCGAAAAATTGGCGAAATTCAAGTCGGTTCAAGTGCGCTTGAACCGTACTCTCACACAGTATTAACCGTGTATCCGCAGTACAAATGAGAAGCTCAATTCGTAATAATTGCGAGGGTTAACCCCCGGTCTTGATAATCGTGACGGATCAAGATGAAGCTCGATCTTCTCGTTTTATGCAACGCGCTCGCATCCTCACAAACAATATTTTTCTTACGTTAAACGACTGACAGAATACGATACATGCGGTACCGCTGTTTCGGCACAGGGCCGATTTCGATTGCGCGCGCGATGAGATTAATCGCGCGGTATCGACAAAATCACGATCCCGCGTTAATTCACGTAAAGGACTTCGTCGCTTACTCTCGGAATTTGTAGTTGTTTTCATCTTTGCGGAAATCCCCGCGTGCGTACACATGTTGCACAGGTGGCATCCCGCCAACTAGCGGAAGTGTACATTGGAATAGCGGTGGCTTTGTTATGAATTTCTAAAGGCGACCGCTTCCTCGTAATTCGAGCAATGAACAATCGATAGACCTCGGAGAATCCCTCAGCGAAAAGTGCAATATTTAAAGTGCATTTTCATCTCTCTCCGTCTACACTGCCGAGATGAATAACTCTCGCATCTCTCGTGAACGCGATTCAAATCGCGTCGAGGTTCCG